ATCAAGGCTGAGAGGGGGAGTTAGCGTTGCTTTACTTTTCATTGTTTTAGCTCTCATTTCAAAGTAGACATTTGGAAAGCGCTTTAGAGTGGGCTGAGAAGAAAGAGGAACTATGAGTGGAATAACATTTGTTCACATTTCCACTAGGCATGAAGTCCTCCTGAGATCTGAATAAACTGAACTGTGATGCCTCTTATTCGTTCCCTTTAGTCATGTTGAATATGACTCATGATATATGACTCAAAAAAATAAAAAGCTTTTGGAGTTCAAGCACCATTATTGATTTGTACATGACTGTATCTGTGACCAAATTGGAGCGCAGTACAGATGTTGTATTGATGTGTTGATGTGATGTGCTAGACTGGACAGTTTGTCTGGCATGAATGACCCCCAAGGCATCAGAGCACACTGACAGGACATGGCAAGCACTCAACATACTTTTGTATAGATAGTGTATGTGGACACCCCTTCAAATGAGTGGATTCGGCTATTTCAGCCACACCCGTTGCTGACAGATGTATAAAATCGAGCACACAGCCATGCAATCTCCATAGACAAACACTGGCAGTAGAATGGCTTTACTGAAGAGCTCAGTGACTTTCAACGTGGCACTGTCATAGGATGCCACCTTTCCAACAAGTCAGTTTGTACATTTTTGCCCTGCTAGAGCTGCCCCAGTCAATTGTGAAATGGAAACGTCTAGGAGCAACAACGGCTCAGCCGACAAATGGTAGGCCACAAAAGCTCACAGAACGGGATCGCCAAGTGCTGAAGCACAGCGTGTAAATATCGTCTGTCCTCGGTTGCAACACTCACTACTGAGTTCTGCCATGGGTTTCCTGTACCCCCGCACATTGACAGGAGAACGCTACATGCCTGAATGCATAGTGCCAACTGTAAAGTTTGTTGGAGGAGGAATAATGGTCTGGGGCTGATTTTCATGGTTCGTGCTAGGCCCCTTAGTTCCAGTGAAGGGAAATCTTAACACTACAGCATACAATGACATTCTAGACGATTCTGTGCTTCCAACTTTGTGGCAACAGTTTGGGGAAGGTCCTTTCCTGTTTCAGCGTGACAATGCCCCCGTACGCAAAGAGAGGTCCATGCAGAAATGGTTTGTCGAGTCGGTGTGGACGAACTTGACTGGCCTGCACAGAGCCCTGACCTCAACCCCACGAACACCTTTGGGATTAATTGGAATGCCGACTGCGAGCCAGGCCTAATCGCCCAACATCAGTGCCCGACCTCACTAATGCTCTTGTGGCTGAATGGAAGCAAGTCCCTGCAGCAATGTTCCAAGATCTATTGGAAAGCCTTCCCAGAAGAGTGGAGGCTATTATAGCAGCAAAGGGGAGACCAACTCCATATTAATGCCCATGTTTTTGGAATGAGATGTTCGACGAGCAGGGGTCCACATACTTTTGGCCATGTAGTGTATGAGTGTCCAACATGTTCTGCCAGATGAACAGAGGGATAGAAGGCCAAAGTGGAACAGTGGAGGGAAAGGCCAAATTGCTAAAATTGTTTGGCAGAGGACTTGAGCCAAAGAAATGGTAGACTGATTAACTGGTAGCCTAAGTATGAACGCAGAGATGAAGAAGAGGATTGAGGGATTAAGAGGGCCGATGGGGGCCAGATGTGGAGACAGAGAGGGGGAGGAAGAAAATGAGGAGGGTGGAGAAAAGCATGGTGGGAGGGCCACTGGACCTGACTGTACTTGTCAGTACAAGCTCTGAGCAAAGCCTTATACAGACATTTCTTAGAGCGTGTGCCCCAGTCATGCACTGCAGTTTCCTGTTAACCCCTCACTGACTGAGAAACTATAGGCTCCCATTCTGGCTCCAAATGTCAGTGTTGGCTAACTTGGAGTTTCTGTCTTTTTATTTTTTATTCTCAGCTAAACTTGGTCTTTGAGTTTAGTTTGTTGGTTCTCCTGTAGGCGTTGTCTGTCTGTATTCAGGCCGTAAACTTATCATAATGTATTATCCTAAAGTTATCAGTTAGGTTGCTAGAAGCCTATAATTCATCTTGACAGACAGGATATTTTCATAACCTTTGCAAGAGCACTTGGTTATGATTTTGAAGTGCAGTAGCCATGTCCAACACAGCTAATGTTTCAAGGGTATGTGAAAATTCCTCAGATTAAGACTGAAAATGACCATTCCCTGGTTGAGTTATTTTAATGCTCAGCCAGTGACCTATTGGCTCTCACAGTACAACACCTCTTAAATGAACTGGTCAGCTAGTTAACACTTCGCTTAACTACTAGTCTAGACTCTTAGCTAACCTTCAAGGACTGCGTTATGTGTTGCTTGGACACTGTCACAGGAATAGGTTGTTTATGGCATTTTTTTCCATGGTTCATTCAGATGCTAACGTGTGAAAAACGTGCGTCCATGTAGCATGCTGCACACACGTGTTGTGTGTGTGTGCGGCCTGCTATAACATGGAGTCTCTATCTGTAGATGTATCAATAATTCACTCCTCCTGAGCCCCTGCTTTCGCTCATATTAAAATACATCCGTTTCCCAGTCCTTTTCTCTTTACCACCCCAGTTAGTTATTTTATTTGTCTTTCTATTAACTTCCTTCTTTCTTCACCTACCTTACCTAACAACATTTGGGTCAACAGTTAGCACATGAGTGGGTAAACTTGAAAGGGTGTGTGTTTGTTTCTATGAGTGTGTGTGTGTTCACTAGTCAGACTGAGTCAACCCTTATTAGGCATTGCTGGGAGCAAGAAGTGGGCTGTGGCTACAGAGCTGTGTCACAGGAAGTGGGAGATTGTATCACGGGATGGATGGAGGGAGAGGAGGAGTGGGAAAAGAGATTGAGAAGGAAAAGGAGAGTCTGCTCCCTCTCCTTTGCTCTTCCTGGTTTTCAGTGACTAGACATATACTGCAATGTGAACTTGTCACGTCTCGACCGCTACCTCCGGAGGTAGCCACGACACTTACCTGACAGTTGCGTCTCTCTAAGCAGGGCAGTGTAAACACAATTGGCTCCTTGAGCCAACACTCTTACAGTACAAATTGTTATAGCATAGCAATGTTTTTGAAACAGCTGAAATGTACGGACATTTTACTTATTTCTATTGAGTTTTTACCTGAAATTCATTTTCATTTGCTTGACTGCAATGAACCACTGAGGTCCAGGCAAGAAGCAACTCACCAGGGAATTATCCACGTTTTCATTCGCAATTTGCTTTTACCTCATATAGTGACTTCCGTGATATTGATAAAATGAAGCCTGGTTTGTTCTAAGGTAACTTTTAATACGGTAATTAGTGTAAGCCTAAGAGCTCCTATATAGCTATTGTTCAGCTAAACGTCCGCATTCAGCTACAGCCAGCACGTTTATGTGAGGATGCAGAAATTACACTGAACAAAAATATAAACGCAACAATTTTAAAAGATTTGACTGAGTTACAGTTCATATAAGGAAATAAGTCAATTGAAATAAATAAATTAGGCTCTAATCTATGGATTTCACATGACTGGGAATACAGATATGCATCTGTTGGTCACAGATACCTTGGTCTGCGGTTGTAAGGCCGGTTGGACGTACTGCCAAATTCTCTAAAACGATGTTGGAGACGGCTTATGGTAGAGAAATAAACAGAATTATCTGGCAACAGCTCTGGTGGACATTCCTGCAGTCAGCATGCTAATTGCACACTCCCTCAACTTGAGACATCTGTGGCATTGTGTTGTGTGACAACTGCACATTTTAGAGTGGCCTTTTATTGTACCCAGCACCAGGTGCACCTGTGTAATGATCATGCTGTTTAATCAGCTTCTTGATATGCCACACCTGTCAGGTGGATGGATTGATTATCTTGGCAATGGAGAAATGCTAACAGGGATGTAAACAAATGTATTCACAACATTTGAGAGAAATAAGCTTTTTGTGCTTATCTTTTGTTGCGTTATATTTTTGTTCAGTGTGTTTTGTTTACCTAGCCTATATTATAATATGAATGACATCGTATGATAACATTACTGTACTTTTTTATATTCGTATGGGAGGGGTAAACATTCATTACTGATATGCTAACATTACTTGATCATGAAGCATGTTGTTAGCCTTAGACTGTTCTCTCTGCTTCGCACGGCAAGCGGTACCGGAGAATCAAGCCTGACACCATCAGTCTCCTGAACAGCTTCTGTCCCCAAGCCATAAGACCGCTAGATAGCTAATAAAATGGCTACACAGACTATCTGCATTGACCCTTCTATTTTATTTTTTAACTGTCTCTGCACATTCTACAAACTCACTCACACACTCACCATGACCAACACACACACACACATGCACACACTTGATTTGCTCACACACGCGCAAACACACTCACATACAATCATCATACACACTGCTGCTACTCTGTTTATCATATATCCTGATGCGTAGTCACCTTACCCCAATACATATCTAACCCTACCACTCCAGTATCCCTGCACATTGTAAATATGGTATAGGCACTGACCCTGTGTGTATAGTTTACATTTTTTTATAGTACTACTGCATTGTTGGGAAAGAGCAAGAAAGGCATTTCACTGTACTAGTGCACGTGACAATACAAATTTAGCTGTGTATTGTCAGCTAATTTAATGTCTATGGAGTAGAAAATAAACCCTTTTAATTGTCTGCACATGCTTGTGGATTGTTGCATTATTCAAGAGTGTGTAATATGGTTTGGTTGCATTATTTAATATTGTAATGTGCTTTAGAAGAAAAGTTCCTCAGATTGCTAAGTAGATATGCTTAGTGGCTGTTATATTTACAGTCAAATTGAGCTGCGGAATAAGACTATTGCGTTGGCTGCCGCAATGAAAGTTAAGGCAAGGATATAATGTGATTTGAAAAGGATAAATATACTGTATTTATCCACTCCGCTTCTCAGACTCATCTCTCATAGTGGGAATAGGGACTCTGTCACTTTCACTCACTCACTCAGCCTTATCTGAAGATCAGGGACTTCTCCTGAATGTGAGCCTTGATATGAGCCAGGGCATCGGGGAGGCCCTCACCATCTGTGTCTGCCAGTGTCACCATGCCTGGCTCTAGTCAGTAACACTTGTCTGTCAGTGCCACTGCACATAAGCCAACTTGCATAACACTGCAGTCCTCTCCTATAGATCGGTTTGTATTTCTAGTAGTCTCTAAAGTTTGTTTACTTTCTCTTATAGACCAGGGCCTGCGAAATGCCAAGGTTTCTATTAGCTGGTAAAATTCCCTAAGAACAGGTTGCATTTCCAGTGTTATTTTGCTATCTGAGTTGTTCTTCTGTGGGAGTTAATGCAAAGCTGCCCCAGGAGCCCACATGGCAGTCGGATATCTCTAGGGTGTGTGTGTGTGTGTGTGTGGAGGAGATGTAGTGCAGGTGGAAGGTTCCAGAGCCTCCTCTCAGAGCCGGAACACGGCAGAGCTTCCTGTCTTTGTCAGCCGCCGTTGTTGTTCCCAAACCATCTTATTTTGGATCAAACCAATCTCTCCTTAAATTAGCCATTTATTGGGTCGTTCCACGAAAAGAGTGCCTTTTGCGTCCCTTTTGATATTTTAAGCAGAAATTGTGGACCAATATTGAATTTAAAAGCCTGTTATATTAAATGAAGTGCATTTTATTATAGACCACATGGAGAATTCAATACATCTGATCTTAAATATGAATAAAGACTTGCTAAAGTGCCAAAATCCTTCATTTTGACATGTCCCACTATGCATCCTCTGTGACTTCTAGGAAGATTTTAACCCACTTAACCCCAACGTTTTCACCATCATTGTAAAGCCCTAGATAATTTGTTGTTTTGACAAAGTAATTTCTGAAGATTATTATTTATTGAATGTTATTAGTGATTCATTTAGGTCTGTCCCTCATTTTAAGGTCAACCCTGTTACGTGAACTGAACTCTTGTTCAATATTCCTTTTAAAAATATTATTTTCAAAAGAAACATTGAACATCTATTGATCAAATCATAGTGTAAAAGCAGGTGCGCTGGTTCTATTATTTTTGGTCATTTTCTGGTGTTTTGTGGTGGAAAACTAAGTGGGTCGAGTATAACACGTCAACCCTATTACCCATAGATAGACGGGCTAGAAATGTTTCAGCAATTTATACATTTTTGTGACGCTTGCATTCAATTGCCACTCCCTGTTGCACGCAAGTTTCTATTCCCTCTGTCACAAGAAGATTCATGGCTGATTTAAGATGAAATCGTCAACCCTGTTACTTTATTTGGCACTTAATAGGCACTTACTATAGTCATTTATTATTCAACCTCTTGAGATGGAAAAACATGTTTTCTATGAAGTTGAAATTAGGTGAAATCTATCTAAAACATAAATTTTTTGACCAAGTTACACTTATCAAAAGGCACCGACTTGGTGGAAGGACCCTACTGCATTCCTGCTCTCTTTTTCTCCCCCTCTCTCTCTTTCTCTATCCTTGTCTGTCTGGTCTGTCTCTTCTACTCTTCTTCCATCTCTTCCCTCACGATGTCTCACTCTTTCATACATGCACGAACATCTGGTAAAAGCATCGGTGCATATTCTCATAATATGCATGTCAAGGGAGGACCTAAACTTAGACTATACACTCACAGGTGTATAAATGGCCTGTTGGTTGTGCTGAAGAGACACCATTCAATATGGTGTATTACCTGTTGCTCTCCCCCTTCATTAAGAGTGTATTGAGTTGGCTTGCATTAGTGCTCGGGGGTCCATTGACAGCCATAGTGTGACAGTGGCTGGGTGAGTTTGAACAGAGCAACTGGACGATGGCCTGTATGGACTGGCTCAACTCTCAGGCATGTCTTGTTTATGGCAGCGTGTGACCTAGCTCATTTTTCTGATTCTTTCTCTCCCCCTCTAACCTCCCAGTCCCCTCTTCTCCCCTCCCTCACTTCTTACCCTGCTGTACTCCACCATACTTGACCCTGGTTCCCTCCTTCCTCTCCCAACACCATCCCTTCTTCCCCTTCTCCAGGCCCCCCGTTCTCTCTCTAGCTCTCTATCTCTATCTATTCAACTCCATATGCTTTTTTTGCATAAGAAATCATTACATTGTACAATAATTATCTTTCTCTGACTCTCCCTTTAGTGAATCCAGTATCTGCCAGGCTCGGGCCACGGTGATGATCTATGATGATGCGAATAAGATGTGGCTCCCAGCAGGAACGGGGCCTCAGACCTTCAGCAGGGTCCAGATCTACCACAACCCCTCCACTAACGCATTCAGAGTGGTGGGACGCAAGATGCAGACAGATCAACAGGTAGTGTGTGTGCATCTATATGTACAGAATCTTTGACAATGGGTTTAAGTCTGTGTGCATGATCGTATGTGTTTGTGTTTGGTCTTGTGTGATGATGTACATCATCAACAGCTGCACACCTCTAGTACCAACAAGCCCTGCCAGCTGTAGAACTGTGAATCAGCCCTTTCTCCACCAGTGGACATCCGCAGGCAGACTAACACCCACTAACCTCCTCTGTGATGCAAGCACAGAAACCCTACCCCAGGTTCTCTGTGCTGGGTCAAAGAGCTGTGTTGTGTCTCCTATAGTTCCCCCATCAGGGCCAGCAGACTTGTACGGGCCTGGGTGGCACGGAGCACATGAGGCCTATCAATACTTACACCTCCTGTACTGTCACAGCTCTAACAATAGAACAAGACAAACAGCAATATATATTGAACAAAAATAGAAACGCAACATGTAAAGTGTTGGTCCCATGTTTCATGAGCTGAAATAAATCCAGGCTTTGTCGTAGCCGGCCGTGACCGGGAGACCCATGGGGCGGCGCACAATTGGCCCAGCGTCATCCAGGGTATGGGAGGGAATGGCCGGCAGGGATGTAGCTCAGTTGGTAGAGCATGGCGTTTGCAACGCCAGGGTTGTGGGTTCGATTCCCACGGGGGGCCAGTATGAAAAAATAAAATAATGTATGCACTCACTAACTGTAAGTCGCTCTGGATAAGAACATCTGCTAAATGACAAAAAAAATAAATAAAAAAAATAAGATCCCAGAAATCTTCAATACGCACAAAAAGCTCCACTTTTGTGCACACATTTGTTTAGTCAGCATTTCTCCTTTGTCAAGATAATCCATCCACCTGACAGGTGTGGTATATCAAGAAGCTGATTAAACAGCACGATCATTACACAGGTGCACCTTGTGCTGGGGACAATAAAAGGCCACTCTAAAATGTGTAGTTTTGTCACACAACACAATGCCACAGATTTCTCAAGTTTTGAGGGAGGGTGCAATTGGCATGCTGACTGCAGGAATGCCCACCAGAGCTGTTGCAAGATAATTTAATGTTAATTTCTCTATCATAAGCTGCCTCGGTTTTAGAGAATTTGGCAGTACGTCCAACCGGCCTCACAACCGCAGACCACGTGTAACCACGCCAGCCCAGGACCTCCACATCCGGCTTCTTCACCTGCGGGATCGTCTGAGACCAGTCACCCGGACAGCTAAGGAAACTGAGGAGTAGTCCTGTCTGTAATAAACTCATTCTGATTGGCTGGGCCTGGCTCCCCAGTCAAATCAAATCAACAATGCAGTTTTTAGAAAATTAAGTGTTAAGTAAAAAATGGATAAGTAAAAAATATAAATAATTGAAGCACACCCAGTGGGTGGGCCTATGCCCTCCAAGGCCCATCCATGACTGCACCCCTGCCCTGTGAAATCCATAGATTAGGCCCTAATGAATTTATTTCAATTGACTGATATGAACTTATATGAACTGTAACTCAGTAAAATCATTAATTGTTGCATGTTGCATTTATATTTTTGTTCAGTATAGATACAGTATCTCACCACCCCATCCCCCTCTATCTCTTCCCGCTCTCTCCATACCATTCTCTCTTTAAACATCCAGTCGCCTGAGTGTTCCCCATAGACGTATCTTAAAGTGGATTATGTTTCCTGAGAGGTAGTTGGCCAGCTCAACCATTTCCTTTGACAATTAAGGAAGCCTTCCCCCTCTCTCTCTGAGTATCTCTGTCCCCTCTGTGTGTGCGTCTCTCTCTCCCTGACTCTTTTGGCGCGGTGAGTTTAGGCGCTCGCTCACTCCTCCGCTCTGTGGAATTCAGGGGTTGTAAAACAAACAGAGAAACGATGCATCAGCACATTCAGACTGAGTCACTCAAACCCAGATCACAGTGGCCTGTATTGAATCACCAGGCTGGTGCCACTTGCTGGACTGATATACAGTGGTGTAAAGTACTTAAGTAAAAATACTTTAACCTCTTAAGGATCGGACCCTATTTTTAAATTTTCGCCTAAAATGACATACCCAAATCTAACTGCCTGTAGCTCAGGACCTGAAGCAAGGATATGCATATTCTTGATACCATTTGAAAGGAAACACTTTGAAGTTTGTGGAAATTTGAAATTAATGTAGAAGAATATAACACATTAGATCTGGTAAAAGATAATACAAACAAAAAAACATGTGTTTTCTATTTATTTATTTTTCATCTTTGAAATGCAAGAGAAAGGCCACAATATAATATTGCAGTTGTGTGCAAAGTTTCAGATTGATCCAGTGAAGCATTGCAATACTGGACTATTTTGTATCAAGTCTGCCCGAATGTGCCGAATTGGTCAATTGATACATTTTCGAGAACATACAAAAATGATATGGTAATACAAAATGTACGTTTACACACTCCCAGGAATGTCATATATGATGGATCATTAGCTTATACACTAACTTCCACACATCTAGATGGCCGGGGTTCAAACTGTAGAACCCAGTTCCTACATTTGAATATAAAAATGGATTTTATCAAACAAAACTATGCTACATTTTATCTCTGGGACCCTTAGGATGACAAATCAGAGCAAGATTACTGAATGTAAGTACATTATTTACCTTCAGAGGTGAATGTATCAAACTAGTTGGCGTGATACGTTTTTTGTTGTTGTGCACTCTCCTCAAACAATAGCATGGTATTTTCTCACTGTAATAGCTACTGTAAATTGAACAGTGCAGTTAGATTAACAAGAATGTAAGCTTTCTGCCAATATAAGACATGTCTATGTCCTGGAAAGTTTGCTGTTACTTACAACAGTCCGTTAGCGCAACCGTCCCGTATACGGGACACCGATCCCATAGAGGTTAAAGTACTACTTAAGTCGTTTTTTGGGGTATCTGTACTTTACTATTTATATTTTTGACAACTTCTACTTCACTACATTCCTAAAGAAAATAATGTACTTTTTACTCAATACATTTTCCCTGACACCCAAAGTACTCGTTTCATTTTGAATGCTTAGCAGGACAGGAAGATGGTCCAATTCACATCCCTGGTCATCCCTACTGCCTCTGATCTGGTGGACTCACTAAACGAAAATGCTTCGTTTGTAAATTATGTCTGAGTATAGGAGTGTGTGCCTGGCTATCCGTAAGCAATTTACAACAAGAAAATTGTGCCGTCTGGTTTGCTTAATATAAGCAATATGAAATGATTATACTTTTACTTTTGATACTTAAGTATATTTTAAACCAAATACTTTTAGACTTTTACTCAAGTAGTACTTTAATGTGTGACTTTTACTTGAGTAATTTTCTATTAAGGTATCATTTACATTTACACAAGTATGACAATTGGGTACTTTTTCCATCACTGCTGATATAGACAGAGTGCATTTGTCTTGTCCAAACTGGCTTCCTCTCCTTGATCTGAAAGCACAGGCTGAGTGCAATATGGAAAAAGCTTTCAATTAGGGAAGATGGAGAGGAGACCATGCTACATTAGACTGTGATGCACCCTAAACATTAACACTTAGGGCTGGGCGATATACAGTGAGGGAAAAAAAGTATTTGATCCCCTGCTGATTTTGTACGTTTGCCCACTGACAAAGAAATGATCAGTCTATAATTTTAATGGTAGGTTTATTTGAACAGTGAGAGACAGAATAAAAACAAAAAAATCCAGAAAAACGCATGTCAAAAATGTTATAAATTGATTTGCATTTTAATGAGGGAAATAAGTATTTGACCCCCTCTCAATCAGAAAGATTTCTGGCTCCCAGGTGTCTTTTATACAGGTAACGAGCTGAGATTAGGAGCACACTCTTAAAGGGAGTGCTCCTAATCTCAGCTTCTTACCTGTATAAAAGACACCTGTCCACAGAAGCAATCAATCAATCAGATTCCAAACTCTCCACCATGGCCAAGACCAAAGAGCTCTCCAAGGATGTCAGGGACAAGATTGTAGACCTACACAAGGCTGGAATGGGCTACAAGACCATCGCCAAGCAGCTTGGTGAGAAGGTGACAACAGTTGGTGCGATTATTGGCAAATGGAAGAAACACAAAATAACTGTCAATCTCCCTCGGCCTGGGGCTCCATGCAAGATCTCACCTCGTGGAGTTGCAATGATCATGAGAACGGTGAGGAATCAGCCCAGAACTACATGGGAGGATCTTGTCAATAATCTCAAGGCAGCTGGGACCATACTCACCAAGAAAAAAATTGGTAACACACTACGCCGTGAAGGACTGAAATCCTGCAGCGCCCGCAAGGTCCCCCTGCTCAAGAAAGCAAATATACATGCCCGTCTGAAGTTTGCCAATGAACATCTGAATGATTCAGAGGAGAACTGGGTGAAAGTGTTGTGGTCAGATGAGACCAAAATGGAGCTCTTTGGCATCAACTCAACTCGCCGTGTTTGGAGGAGGAGGACTGCTGCCTATGACCCCAAGAACACCATCCCCACCGTCAAACATGGAGGTGGAAACATTATGCTTTGGGGGTGTTTTTCTGCTAAGGGGACAGGACAACTTCACTGCATCAAAGGGACGATGGACGGGGCCATGTACCGTCAAATCTTGGGTGAGAACCTCCTTCCCTCAGCCAGGGCATTGAAAATGGGTCGTGGATGGGTATTCCAGCATGACAATGACCCAAAACACACGGCCAAGGCAACAAAGGAGTGGCTCAAGAAGAAGCACATTAAGGTCCTGGAGTGGCCTAGCCAGTCTCCAGACCTTAATCCCATAGAAAATCTGTGGAGGGAGCTGAAGGTTCGAGTTGCCAAACGTCAGCCTCGAAACCTTAATGATTTGGAGAAGATCTGCAAAGAGGAGTTGGACAAAATCCCTCCTGAGATGTGTGCAAACCTGGTGGCCAACTACAAGAAACGTCTGACCTCTGTGATTGCCAACAAGGGTTTTGCCACCAAGTACTAAGTCATGTTTTGCAGAGGGGTCAAATAGTTATTTCCCTCTTTAAAATGCAAATCAATTTATAACATTTTTGACATGCGTTCTTCTAGATTTTTGTTGTTGTTATTCTGTCTCTCACTGTTCAAATAAACCTACCATTAAAATTATAGACTGATCATGTCTTTGTCAGTGGGCAAACGTACAAAATCAGCAGGGGATCAAATACTTTTTTCCCTCACTGTATCATGAATACCGGTATACTGATATGGATCCACATACCGGTATGGATTTTTATCACTGAGTGTTTGTATAAATGTCTAATATTGCAATTACCAATGTAGTTATTTCCATACTACCTGAGTGAGGATCTTTCACTTACCTAAAATCTGCAGTTTGTCCATTTCAACTGTACAGAGCATCACCCTTTTTCTTGATAAAGAAGTGGTATCCATGATATGACAATGTTGGGAGTGTCATGGTTTGTGGTCCTCTGTAGCTCAGCTGGTAGAGCACGGCGCTTGTAACGCCAAGGTAGTGGGTTCGATCCCCGGGACCACCCATACACAAAAAATGTATGCACGCATGACTGTAAGTCGCTTTGGATAAAAAGCGTCTGCTAAATGGCATATTATTATTTATTATTATTCATGACTCATGTCTTGACTCCGACCCCCTTCTCTCTAAGGTGGTGATTAACTGTCCGATTGTGAAGGGCCTGAAGTACAACGAGGCCACGCCCAACTTCCACCAGTGGCGGGACGCGCGGCAGGTGTGGGGGCTCAACTTCAGCAGTAAGGAGGATGCCGCCCTCTTCGCCAACGGAATGGCCCATGCACTGGAGGTGCTCAACTCCCTGGCAGACGCAGGTACTAATATAATGGATTTTACATGCAACCTCAACATACATGACAACATGCTTTGCAATACCTAAAGGCACAGCACTGTCTGAGAAATAATTGAGAGAAATGCATGTGTGGAAACATGAGCATGACTTGCATCTCACAGCTTTCTTCGTAAGTCATACTAAGAATCTCTTTCCCCTCTCTATCCCCAGGTTACGCTACCCTCCCCCGCCCAGTGTCAAATGGACCCTCCCCAGAGGAGCTGGAACAGCAGCGGAGGTACCAAGTGTGGGATTTCACCTTTACTTCCAGATTGAGTTGTAATTAAGGTTCAAGACAAGACAGTTTCATATGACCAGAGGTCCAACTGACACAGTTTTACATAACCACACATGCACACTGACTCAGAGGATTTGTCAGCATTAGCCATATGCCGCTTAGCCCTCAGCCAGCCTCTTGAGGTCGGAGGTTGAAAAGCTAAAGAAGGTCAACTCCTCTTTGAAATCCCATCCCTTCCTACCAACTCCTCTTCCTGTGGACCCCACACTCGCCAAGGATACGCCCAGCTTTACCCCTAATCTAATTTAGTCGAATGGGCAATATGACACACTGTGGAGGCTCTGGGATAGGCTGGTGAGGTTGTCCGTCAAATGGTGGTAGTAATGGTCACAGATATGATTGTCAAGATGGCGCCGACGGAGAAAGGCAACATCTTACAAGTTCCAACTCCTTTGCTATATAGTGACTTTTATCGTGTTTCTTTACTTTTCTTGTACAGAATGTTCATACTATTATCACATATGATCGCCAAGCACTTCTGGAAATCAGATTGACAGTTACTAACCTCGATATCGACTTCAAATATGACTTCAACTCCGACTCAGCTGTTCCACTGTTCATACCGGACCCTATTACCGTTGTTACATGGGCTACCAAAACACTGCAGGTGTAGACGCGGGAGACGAGGTGGAGTCTGTTCTATTGGCAAATGTCCAGTCACTTGAGAATAAGATGACTCTTATCAGAGAGACTTGAAAAGCTGCAATGTTATGTCTTACTGAAACATGGCTGGATGATGACGCTATGCACGTAGTACTCGGTTGATTCTCCATGCAGTGGCAGGATCGGACAGTGGCTTCGAGGAAGTCGAAAGGAAATTGAGTGTTTTTTCATAAATAACAACTGGTGTGCTGCTTCAAGTGTGAAGGAAATCACTAGCTTTTGGTCACCTGATATATACTGAACAAAAATATAAACGCAACATGTAAAGTGTTGGTCCATTGTTTCATGAGCTGAAATAAAAACAAACAAACATTTTCCATACGCACAAAAAGCTTATTTCTCTCAAATTGTGTGCACAAATTTGTTTACATCCCAGTTAGGATGCATTTCTCCTTTGCCAAGATAACCATCCACCTGACAGGTGTGGCATATCAAGAAGCTGATTAAACAGCATGATCATTACACAGGTGCACCTTGTGCTGGGGATAATAAAAGGCCACTCTAAAATGTGCAGTTTTGTCACACAACACAATGCCACAGATGTTTCAAGTTTTGAAGGAGCGTGCAATTGGCATGCTGATTGCAGGAATGTCCACCAGAGCTGTTGCAAGAGAATTTAATGTTCATTTCTCTACCATAAGCTGCCTCTAACGTCGTTTTAGAGAATTTGGCAGTGCGTCCAATATATGACCTGTAACTCAGTAAAATCTTTGAAATTGTTGCATGCTGCGTTTATATTTTTGTTCAGTATAGAATACCTCATGGTAAATTGCAGACCATTTTATCTACCAAGAGTTTTCATCTGTAATTATCATGGCAGTCTACATCCCTCCACAAGCCAACACCACTCTGGCACTCAACGAACTGTATGGGGCCATAAACAAACAAGAAACCGCTCACCCAGAGACAGCGTTTCTGGTGGGCGGAGACTTTAACGCGGGGAGACTTAAAACCGTCCTACCTCACGTCTACCAACACGTCTGCTGCTCCACTAGGGGCGCTAAAACTCTAGACCACTTTTATTCTACCCACAGAAGCGCTTACAAGGCCCTCCCTCGTCCTCCCTTCGGCAAATCTGACCATGATTCCATTCTCCTGCTTCCTGTTTACAAACAAAAACTCAAACAGGAAGTAGCAGTGATGCGCTGAATACGGAAGTAGTCGGATGAAGTAGACGCGAGGCTACAAGACTGTTTTGCTAGTACAGACTAGGATATGTTCCGGGATTCATTCGATAGCATTGACGAGTTTACCACAACAGTCACATGCTTCATCAATAAGTATATAGACGATGTCAACCACACAGTGACTATAAGAACACATCCATACCAAAAACCATGGATTACAGGCAATATCCACGCTCGGCTAGAGCTACTGTTTACAAGGAACGGGACACAGACAAGCCCACTACGTCCTCCGAGACCTCAAACATGCAAAGGGACAATATAGAAGGAAGGTGGAATCCTATTACACCGGCTCCAACGCTCGTCGTATGTGGCAGTGCTTGCAGACAATAACGGATTACAAAAGAAAATTCAGCCATGAGTTGCCCAGCGATGCAGAACTCTCAAACGAGCTAAATGCCTTTTATGCTCGCTTCGAGGAATATAACACACTGTCCTTGCGTGAAAGCCCTTGTTTTCCAGATGACTGTGTGATCTCGCTCTCCGTGGCCGATGTGAGCAAAACGTTTAAACAGGTTAACAATCACAAGGCCACCGGGCCAGTTGGAGTACCAGGGCGCATGCTCAAATAATGCGCAGACCAGCTGGCAAGTGTCTTCACAGACATTTTCAATCTCTCCTTGTCCCAGTCTGTAATCCCAACATGTTTCAAGCTGACCACCATTGTCCCTGTTCCCAAGAGCTCTAAGGTAACCTGCCTAAATGACTATTGCCCTGTAGCACTCACATCTGTAATTATGAAGTGCTTTGAAAGGCTGGTTATGACACACATCAACACCATCATTTCAGACACCCTAGACCCACTCAAATTCGCATACTGCCCCAACAGATCCACAGATGATGCAATCTCAATTGCACTTCACACTGCCCTCTCCCACCTGGACAAGAGGAGAAATAACTATGTGAATGCTGTTCATAGAATACAGCACAGCGTTCAACACCATAGTCCTCTCCAAGCTCCTCACCAAGCTAGGGACCCTGGGACTGAACCCCTCCCTTTGCAACTGGATCCTGGACTTCGTGACTGGCCAGACCCAGGTGGTGAGGGTAGGCAACAACACCTCCGCCACGCTGACCCTTAACACAGGGGCCCCTCGGGTGTGTGCTTAGTCCCCTCCTGTACTCCCTGTTCACCCACGACTGCGTGTCCACCATCATCAAGTTTGCTGACGATACGACAGCGGTAACCCTGATCACCAACAGTGACGAGGCTGCCTACAGGGAGGAGGTCAGAGATTTAGCAGAGTGGTTCCAGGCCAACAACCTCTCCCTGAACGTCAGCAAGACAAAGGAGCTGATCGTGGACTACAGTAGAAAGCGGTGAAAGCACAGCCCCATCCACATCGACGGGGCTGTTGTGGAGCGGGTCGAGAGCTTCAAGCTCCTTGGCGTCAACATCACTACATCACTAAGGACATAACATAGTCCGCACAGGCCGAGCTCCCTGCCATCCAGGAACTCTAGATCAGGAGGTGTCAGAGGAAGGCCTGAAAAAAAGACTCCAGCCACCCAAGCCATAGACTGTTCACTCTGCTACCGTCCAGCAAACGGTACCGGAGCATCGGCTCTCGGACCAACAGGCTTCGAGGCAGTTTCTAGCCATAAGACTGCTAAATAGTCAATTAATGGTACCCAAACTATCTGCACTGACTCTATAATCAATGACTCTACACACTCACTAGACTATACAGTGAATTCGGAAAGTATTCAGACCCCTTGACTTTTTCCACATTTTGTTACGTTACAGCATTATTCTAAAATTGATTAAATTGTTTTTTTCCCTCATCAATATACACACAATACCCCATAATGACAAAGCAAAAACAGGTTTGTATACATTTTTGCACATTTATTAAAAATTAAGAACGGAAATATCACATTTACATAAGTATTCAGACCCTTTTACTCAGTACTTTGTTGAAGCACCTTTGGCAGCGATTACAGCCTCGAGTCTTCTTGGGTATGACGCTACAAGCTTGGCACACCTGTATTTGGGGAGTCTCTCCCATTGTTCTCTGCAGATACTCTCAAACTCTGTCAGGTTGGATGGGGAGCATCGCTGCACAGCTATTTTCAGGTCTCTCCAGAGATGTTCGATCGGGTTCAAGTCCGGGCTCTGGCTGGGCCACTCAAGGACATTCAGATACTTGTCCCGAAGCCACTCTTGCATTGTCTTGGCTGTGTGCTTAGGGTGGTTGTCCTGTTGGAAGGTGAACCTTCGCCCCAGTCTGAGGTCCTGAGCGCTCTGGAGCAGGTTTTCATCTGTACTTTGCTCCGTTCATCTTTCCCTCGATCCTGATTAGTCTCCCAATCCCTGCCGCTGAAAAACATCCCCACAGCATGATGCTGCCACCACCATGCTTCCACCACCAAAATCGAGCATACTGCCATGCAATCTCCATAGACAAACATTGGCAGTAGAATGGCCGTACTGAAGAACTCAGTGACTTTCAACGTGGCACCGACATACGATGCCACCTTTCCAACAAGTCAGTTCATCAAAAGAGCTGCCCCGATCAACTGTAAGTGCTGTTATTGTGAAGTGGAAACATGTAGGAGCAACAACTGCTCAGCCGTGAAGTGGTAGGCCACACAAGCTCACAGAACGGGACTGCCCGAGTGCTGAAGCGTGTAGCACGTAACAAATGTCTGTCCTCGGTTCCAAACTGCCTCTGGAAGCAACGTCAGCACAATAACTATTCGTCGGGAGCTTCATGAAATGGGTTTCCATGGCCGAGCAGCCGCACACAAGCCTAAGATCACAATGCCAAGCGTCGGCTTGAGTGGTGTTAAGCTCGCCGCCATTGGACTCTGGGTGAGTGGAAATGCGTTCTCTGGAGTGATGAAGCACACTTCACCATCTGACAATCCGACGGACTAATCTGGATTTGGCGGAGGCCAGGAGAACGCTACCTGCCTGAATGCATAGTGCCAACTGTAAAGTTTGGTGGAGGAGGAATAATGGCTGTTTTTCATGGTTCGGGCTAGGCCCCTTTAGTTCCAGTGAAGGGAAATCTTAATGCTACAGCATACATTGACATTCTAGATGATTCTGTGCTTCCAACTTTGTGGCAACAGTTTGGGGAAGGCCCTTTCCTGTTTCAGCATGACAATACCCCCATGCACAAAGCGAGGTCCATACAGAAATGTTTTTTTCGGGATCGGTGTGGAAGAACTTGACTGGCCTGCACAGAGCCCTGACCTCAACACCATCGAACACCTTTGGGATGAATTGGAATGCCGACTGCGAGCCAGGCCTAATCGCCCAACATCAGTGCCCGACCTCACTAATGGCTGAATGGAAGCAAGTCCCCGCAGCAATGTTCCAACATCTAGTGGAAAGCTTTCCCAGAATTTCAGTGCTAATCAGGAGCTGTGAAATGCCCCTTCACAGACCCAGCATGGCTGCATAGTTAGCACAATTGAATCACAAATATGCTCTTCAGTCTTGCAGTGCTCCAGAGCCAGCTGTCACAATTAGACAGTGCCTACTGGGATTGTTTGAAAATGGTTGTTGCTTTAATGAAAGAATTGCTGGTACAGTTCACTTGGTTCAGTTCACTTGCCATGTTATTATTGTCGAAATAATGTAATTTCTCTGCCAGGCCACCTCTGGCTGGATACCTCCTTTTCAGGGAGGATGTGGTACCTTCCCATTCATCCCTTCACCAGATACAACATTGTTATATGATTTGTTGACTGTTTGGGTGTATTAGTGTCTGTTTGTTTGTCTCTGTGTTAATCCCCATGAGTTTTGTCCCTGTAGGCTGGAGCAGCAGGAGAGAGAGCGCCAGGAGTGGGAGAGACTGGAGAGAGAGAGACAACAAGCTGCAGCAGGTCAGAGGCACCAGCTTGGGTCAAACAGCCACACTGACAGCAATACCGTTTGCCTTTTTGAACAAAGCCAATTATTGTATAATTTTTATCCATTCTCTGAACGTAGTACACTGTGACAGTCTCTTACGTTTTTATTTTTAGTGCCCACTACTCCAGCCCCACCGTTGGCCCCCCCAGCACCTCCGGGCCCTCCTCCACCCCCCGGACCTCCTCCGTCTGGGCCCCCTCCACCCCCGGGACCTCCTCCCCCAGGACCCCCGACCGCAGGATCAGGACCCCCGCCCGCCCCACCGCTGCCCTCCCCGGGAGGAGATGGGGGCCTGGCGACAGCCTTAGCCGGGGCCAAGCTCCGCAGAGTGGCCAAGGTGAGAGAGAGAAAGGAGAAATAGTGGCCTCAGGATAAGAATTTGCATAGCAGTTGTTTTGTATCTGTTGTATCTATCTCCACATTTATGCAACCACCATTCATTTCTGATTTGGACTTCAATGCCAATCATTTTGAATGCCGAGCCTTTCTGTCGATACTCTTAACTGCTCCTGTGTCTTCTACTGCCCTCTGTAGGATGATAGTGGTAGTGGTGCTTTTGCTGCTGCTGCTTCTTCTGCTGCTGCAGCACCGGCTGCCAAGCCTGATCAAAGCCGCACCAGTGCCTCCATCGGTGGTGGTGGTGGTGGTGGAGGAGGCCTGATGGGTGAGATGGCATCCATCCTGGCACGGAGGTAGGTGGCACTGAAGAGAGCACTGCTATAAATGAACAGATCCATACGCCCCAGTCTAGAGCGCTGTGTATGCCCCTCTATGGCTCTGATCCGGCTTAGTGAATCTTTAAGTTTTGTATCACACTCTTACTCTCCTTTTGTCTGTCTTGTTCAGGAAAAAAATGGCAGACGGTGGGGCTAAGCCACCTGCTAAGACAGCAGATAATGTAAGTATTTGTTAATTTATTGGCCAACTATGTCGTGAATACATAATTGAGCAATTTCCATGTAGTCAGAAAACACTCAAGTTTGGCTGGTCTAACTCTGTTTCCTTTCTCCCTACAGGATGACTCAGAGTCTCAAGGCCAAAGTGGTGAGAACTGTGCGTGTCTGTGCCAGTCTGTTTTGTTTGTACCTAGGAAGACAAATTTGCTTGATACTTTACTTTTATACAGTTTTGCTGTAAAATATGCCTGTCTTCTTTTTAGACACTCTTGGAAGAAGACCTTGGGAGAAATCAGCTACTATGCCCAGGTAAGGTTTCAGCTTCCTATACTCTCTCTGCGTCTGAAGTAAGAGCAGCCTGTGTGGACGTATGTCAGTCTCAGAATTGAAAGAGGGGTGTGTGTGTTGATGAATTGGTTGCTTCCCATTCTAAGAGCAGAGTGTGTGTGTGTGTCTCACAAACAGGAATAACTCAATCTCCAAGAACATGGACTCCACCTCTCCCTTGCCCCAGGGTCCCAGGTACAAAGTCCCTCCCCTAACAAGACAACAGGACTGATGCTTTCCTGCTCTCCCTAGCATACTGTCCCACCTCCCTTCTCTCTGTCAGGTCAACAGGGGCACAGCTTCAGATCATGGTGCTGGGCCATTGTACTGTTAACAGCACCACCTAGTGGACTGCAGAAGGCTATGACTACTGTGACAGCCTTTATCATCTGCAGGATTTCATTCTGATAATATGTGAATTGATATCCCTTGATGTAGTATAGAATGGAATTTTGTGTGTTTTGCCTGGAATTTCTGGACGTTTGGTGGTGTGGTCAACGGTCAAATGTCATTGAAACTTTGAAAGCTAGCCTTGGGTTGTCTGTTTTCAACAGAATGTGTATGTGTGGTGCTTCCGGAGGCCTCTGGGGGTGCTATGGTGATGGGTTGGATTGACAGCGTGGGTTGTCACGGTGATGGGACAATGTTCGATCTTAATCAGTCTCTCCCTTTCTCTCTCTGCCTCCCCTACCCACTCTCTTTCTTTCCCCCATCTCCACAACTCATCCAGGGTGAAGCATGCAGGTGGTAGTAATGATGCTGGAGGTGGTGAAGAGACTGATATGGAGAGGATTAAACAGGTAAATATTATTTTCTGAAGCACCTTTAATGCCAAGACTAGTAAAGACATATAATCATATGCAATACTAAGACTGCAAATGAAAGAAGGTTTTGGTTTCTTCTTGTAGGAGATTCTTGACGAGATGCGGAAGGAGTTACAAAAAGTAAAGGAGGAGATAATCGGAGGTGAGACTATGCAGATATTTGTTTTGGGCCACAACCATGTTTCACACAGAGACCTATCCAATGACATTTGTATAACAGTCCAAATTAAGTGGGGGGGGAAAGAACAAAGGCACTACTTTTCTTTGTCAGATGTTGTATTGATTGTTTCTTGTCTCTCTCCTGTTCCACAGCCTTTATTGAGGAGCTACAGAAGAGGGGCTCCACATAGTTCTGCTAGAGTGGTGGGAGGAACAGGGGGGGTTGGATGGATGGAGGTTATGGCCCTGTGTGGAGCTCTCCCCCGTCTCCCCCTCCAGTGTAGCCCAGGGATTTTTCTTTCTCTCCTTCACACATTCTCACATTCACACACACCTACATACTTGCACACGACACGTACATGTTAACCCAGGGAACCGATTCACAACCACATCCAAACACAGGACTAGATCACCTGCTACCACCCCAGCTGTGATGACACAACCTCTCCTCGCTCATCCCTTCTTGTATCCAACTCTTCCTTTAATTTCATGAGAACCACTGTAGAACACATAATCACGGCTGCTGTTGCTCTTACTCCTTGTCATGTACAATTGTATCTCTCCCCCCATGTATCTACCCCATAGAAATCCTGCTCCTATTCACTCCCTTCGTCAGACAGACCAGTGTTTTTACTGGGGTCTTCAGTATTCAGGGAAGATCATTAATTATTGTTACTGTAATGGTAGAGTGGTTGGTTGGCTTTTGTAAGAATCCTCTTTAACCTGTCACAGCTTCAACCTCAAAACACTGCCTTCAAATAAAAACATTTAGATAACCCTTGAAAGATAGGCCTATGTCATCTTGGCCCATCTTGAGAATGTGTGGTGATGGGAGGAAACTACCAGATTGTACAGGGACCCCATGGTGGAGGTCTTTCATCCACAGCACACACTGCTCCCTGCAGGCCTGGTGCACAAGAGCTTATACTGCCCCACTGCCTTGAAGCAAGGGCTACCACTCCCAAGTGGACTGCTCTGTCAATGGCTAAAAAAGAGACCCTACACAAACTTCAATTCTACAGACTTGGAGGAGAAGTCAGAGGAGACATGCAAAGGGAATGTGATGGACGACCGCCCGGCGTGCCATGAGAGAGGAGAGTGCTGTGGTTCTGTGCTATGGAGGGAATCCTAGTTCTTTCTGCACTTGGCCCGGAGAAAGTGTGTTTTTTGTGTGCCACTAAGTATCGACTCACACTCATCTTTACCTTCTGCTCAAAATGAGACACTAATCATTTGCCAGTGCAGTGGTCCTAAACTGTACTGTTTTTTTGGCCATGACCAACTGCCTTGGAGAATATATTTTTTTGGGGGGATGCTAGCAAAAATGAAATGCTGTTTCTCTTTTAATTGAGATGACTGGTGAATGGGGAATTGTTTTGATTGTTTTCTTTTCAAGAGATGTTATTTTGAGTTACTGTTATGTTTTTTTTGTTGTTTTTTTTCTAATCGAGTATAGGCTTTTTACACTGAAATATAAATAAAACAGCGTAGAGACACTGGATTAGAGATGCCTTTATAGTCAAATACAGCCGCTTCTTGCAATGCATCAGCTTCTTGAGTCTCCTTTTTTTGGGCTTTCCATTGAAGCTCATTCCAATCCTTTTCAAGCCTTTAATATTTTTCAGGATATTCTGGCTTTCATGGCATTGAATGGAATTAAGATGATGTGCATGTATTTAATTTTTAAAAAATAGCACATGCATTTATGAACATTTTGAATAGGAAAGAATGTATGTATTAATGTTGATACTGTATTTCAATATTACTCATCAGCATAGGGGTTGGGGATTTAGGAATGTTTCTCTGGTTGATGTTCCTTCCAGAGTGCAGGATCAAACCGTTTTTGCTGTTAAAGTGGGATGCTTGGGACAACTCAACTAAAACGTTTAGGTAAGGGTTATGGTCAGGGTTAGATCTATGGTTAGGGTAGGATCCCACTTAGCATCTTCTGGGGTCAAATGGTAGGCTATGCACAAAATTATACAATGATTCAGAGACAGGACATGCATGGGACAGTACTACAGGACATTATGCATGCTACAGGACAGTAGCATGCATGATAGAACAGCACCTATGAGTTTAGAATTTATTTAATGACTAAAATCAGTCATTATAGAGCTGAGACCCTGTGACAGACACGATATTGAAACATATGAACATCATCATGCAGAGGGGACATATGCACTTTCAAAATCAACTGCCTGTCTGAAGCGTGATTAATCCGGAACTGAATGTAAAAGGGTGAATGTGTGGCAAAAATGTGAACTCAATTTCAAATAAGTGTCAAGTGTTTGGCCTCTACATTAAGGTGTGTTTTAGACCGTTCCGTGTCAAAGGCAAAGTTGAAATCACAGGTGGAACGATCATTTTGGTATGTCCTCTCCCAGCTGCTACCGGATTGAGAACGTTCTGACAAAGATGGTGGCTAAATAAAGATGTCTTACTCAGGCAGTTTACCTTTGGGGGAAAAATGTCACAATTCCGGTTTGCTTAAGGGGTGGCTCTCAATGCGATAGCAGCTGGGTCTTGTCGGCTTAGTTCATTGACCGTTTATGAACAAAATAATTAGGGAGTGGGCTGTCTCGCTTCCGTCTCTGATTGTGAGCTGTTTCCGCCGCCATTGCAGGTTTGGACTGAGATCAGTGCTTAAGCCACTGCCATCCATTCAGGCAGTGGAGAAAACGCACAAACATCCGGCGGCTACACTTGACATAAGATTTTGGAATCACGACTAAGATAATATTTCAAATAACACCTTGATTTGACGTAAATATTAATTGTCTGACTACGATTTACGAATCGGGAAGTCGTAGCTAGCACAAAGTGCTAACCTAGCCAGTTACTGTAGCTGCTTAGCTAGAATTTCAGGACTCCGTAGAAGCAAAGGATAACCGCAATGGCTCAAATACTACCTATCCGATTCCAGGAGCACCTGCAGGTATGAAAACAATATAGTTAAATACTAGTCGTGACCAGGGAGCGTAGCTATCGCACTAACGTTACACACCTCCAGATCTTTCTCGGCTGCTTGACGATTGTCGCTAACTAGTTAGCTAAGATAACTGTAGCTAACAGTCCAACACCCGCAACGAAATGAATGACCTCTCCTCCCCCGTTGTCATGTTATGCTAACTAGCTAGCGAAAAGACTACCACAGTGACAGTCAGCTAGCTAGTTAACTTTCTAGGGTTGCCATCAAACGTAACGTTAACAAACTGCTTTCGTATGATAGATACTATTTTTATTTTTATTGGCCTGCTAACTCAAACAGATGTCATGTTAAGTAATGGCTAGCTACTTAACTAGATAGATAATGTTTCTTCGTAACAGTCCATTCAATAACAGCCAGATGCATGTTGCTATGTCTGCTAGTCAGTCTGACACTGATCTTAGATTACCTTGACCCTTCATTCAAGTAACGCAGGTGTTCAGTAAGCTAAATTGGCTTAATTAACAGACAGTTGTTCTATGGTCAAAACAACATAGCTAGCTAGCTAACGTCACCTAGCTAGTTAGTATTATTTAATTTGATGTAGCTAGCTATACCGCCATAAGATGATAAAAGGGTAATGCGTTTCAGTCTTTACAAATGGCTAACTACATCCCGAATCATCATCAACATAAAATCATAATCAATGAACCTGTGCATGGGCCTTAAAGCCAGTTAGCCCACTGAACTAAAGCGTAGGCATTAGTTCCAGGACAGGAGCCAACACGTTTTCAGGTCTCAGACAAGATTACTCACTCATTATGCAAGTGTAGTTCACCAAACCACCTCTGCAACACAGTCATACAAACAATTGTTTTTTCAATAAATAATTCTAACAATGTAATTCCATTTCCTTTAGCTCCAGAACCTGGGGATCAATCCAGCTAACATTGGATTCAGCACCCTGACTATGGAGTCTGATAAGTTTATCTGTATAAGAGAGAAAGTGGGCGAGCAGGCACAGGTGGTCATCATTGATATGGCCGACCCCAACACTCCCATCCGTAGGCCCATCTCTGCAGATAGCGCCATCATGAACCCTGCTAGCAAAGTTATTGCCCTCAAAGGTAAGTACTTCCACTGACCCCAACAACCTGACCTGTTTCCTTTGACTCAACTAATATGTACAGAGGCTGTGTTTTTAACAACTGAATTCACCCAAACTAAGTGGTTAACTACAACTTTATTGACTGCTGTAGACCATTTCCCTGTGTGTTGCTGTCCTAATATAAAAGGCCATTTGTGTACATTTGTGTTTGTCAGCAAGTTATTGATCTAGACCTGTCACATTCTGCTTTGCGTGTTAATGACCATATACAGGCCTGTATAATTTATATTTTGTTTTTAAAATCTGCAGTAACATTTCTTGTAATTTGCTATTTATAGTCTACATTTGAAACAATTGAACCCCTTTGTACACTGATAAAATTGTCATACTATCATGAATGCTTTGTCTATTTTTGCTTGTTTTTGCTCTTTTCGTTTCTTAATGCTTTCTTATGTGTTTGCAGACGGTGAGTTGGATTTTTATATATCATGAGTTGTGGAAGTTGTAATCATGTTTGCACTGTGTTGGAATGTCTGCCCAGTACTGTATATGTTATGTTTACATAGGAAGGAGTGTTTGAAAGTAGAATGGAAGCACAAGGGGTTGATTAAAAAACAGCAGGATATAGGATAAATGGCAAACAGAATATGGAAATACAAGGAAGTTCATCAAGACCTCAAGGGTTAAGGAAACAAATACCTGAGTGGCACAGTGGTCTAAGGCACTGCATCGCAGTGCTAACTGTGCCACTAGAGATCCTGGTTCGAATCTAGGCTCTGTCGCAGCCGGCCGCGACCGGGAGACTCATGGGCGGCGCACAATTGGCCCAGCGTCGTCCAGGGTAGGGGAGGGAATGGCCGGCAGGGATGTAGCTCAGTTGATAGAGCATGGCGTTTGCAACGCCAGGGTTGTGGGTTCGATTCCCACGGGGGGCCAGTATAAAAAAAAAAAATGTATTCACTAACTGTAAGTCGCTCTGGATAAGAGCGTCTGCTAAATGACTAAAATGTAAATGTAAAATGTAAAAACTTCTGTGAGTATGCCATGTGCCAATGTGCACCTTTATGTCGACAAGTCCCCCTTATTGCACACTACTGTCTCAATGGCCTAGAGATCGAGGCTATTGCACAGGCTGAGATGGTGAAACATTCCTCTGAAGCAAGATCCTTGTGATAACTTTTGATAATTTATTATTCATGCCCCTATTATGACTAAATCCAGTTTGAGAGCTGGTCTTGGCCTATAGGCCGAAGTAGTCATGGTTTGCATGATTTTGTCAGTGCATCCTTGACTGCAGTGTAAGAAACTTGCATTCAGAGAACACATTTATTGCAGATCCTACAGGAAAATCAGACTACAGGAAAATCAGATATGCAATGCAATATTTATTTCAATACTAGACTATGGTAGCCAAATTCCTTTGTAGATTTGTGATAATAATAATAATATGCCATTTAGCAGACGCTTTTATCCAAAGCGACTTACAGTCATGCGTGCATAAATTTTTTTGTGTACGGGTGGTCCCGGGGATCGAACCCACTACCTTGGCGTTACAAGCGCCGTGCTCTACCAGCTGAGCTATAGAGGACCACCCGTACACAAAAAAATTGTGATGATGAATTAATGTTGAATTGACACCCCCACCCCTGTGTATTGGTCTTTATGTAGCATAGAATGTATTCTATTTTAATTGTTTACTTGTCAGGCAAGATAAGTGATAGAATATTTGTTTTGCTCTGTGATTTGTAGTCCAGGTGTATAGCATTACACAACAGGACATGTAGGCCTATAGACTTAGGCTGTGCTTTTCAGTGGTGAAATTTGAAAACTATAGCTGGTTCATCATAGGCTACAGCCACAAGAAATGAATGAATAAGAAACTCTTTCATTGCTCCAATAATAAGCCAGAGTGGCGCAGTGGTCTAAGGCACTGCATCGCAGTGCTAGCTGTGCCACTAGAGATCCTGGTTCGTATCCAGCCACGACCGGGAGACCCATGGGGCGGCGCACAATTGGCCCAGCGTCGTCCAGGGTAGGGGAGGGAATGGCCGGCAGGGATGTAGCTCAGTTGGTAGAGCATGGCGTTTGCAACGCCAGGGTTGTGGGTTCGATTCTCACGGGGGGCCAGTATGAAAAAATAAATAATAATAATAATGTATGCACTCACTAACTGTAAGTCGTTCTGGATAAGAGCGTCTGCTAAATGACTAAAATGTAAAATGTAATTGGAAAGCCTGAAATGGAATTGGTGTCAGTCAGTGCATCCCAGGACACTTCTTGTACCTCATCACATCTGTTTGTGTTTTGTGGTCTTGCGTTAATCTGCATTCAGACCCAACCCAAACTCCCTCATTCATCTCAGGATTAATATTGGGTTAGGAATCCTGTAGAGCTGCTTGAACTCCAGATTCACACACCTGAAGTTCACTTATGACGAGGCAGATACAATGTTAGGACTTGAATAGAAGGGCCTTATACAGTGCCTTCATAAAGTATTCATACCACTTGGCTTTTGTTGTTAGTTGTTAAAGCCTGAATTCAAATTTAATCAATTTGATTTTTTTTCTCACCCATCAACACACACTACCCCATAATGACAGTGACAACATGTTTTTAGAAATGCTTGCAAATTGATTGAAAATAAAATACAGAAATATCTCATTTACATAAGTATTCACACCCCTTTGCTATGACACTCCAAATTGAGCTCAGGTGCATCCAATTTCCTTTGATCAGCCTTGAAATGTCACTACAACTTGAATTTTGGCAAATTCAATTGTTTTGAAATGATTTAGAAAGAAACACACCTGTCTATATGAGGTCCCACAGTTGACAGTGCATGTCATTGCAGAAACTATTCCATGAAGTCCAAGAAACTGTCTGTAGATCTCTGAGATAGAATTGTGATGAGGCAAATATCTGGGGAAGGGTATAACACAATTTCTAGAGTGTTTTAAAGTTTCTAAGAGCACAGTGGTCTCCATCGTTGGGAAATAGAAAAACATATGGAACTACCCAGACTGGATAGAGCTGGCTGTCTGACCAAACTGAACAACCGGGCAAGAAGGACCTTGGTCAGGGAGGTGACCAAGATCCCAGTGACCACTCTGACAGAACTACAGAGTTCCTTGGCTGAGATGGGAGAAGTTGCCAGAAGGACAACAGTCTCTACAGCACTTCACCAATCTGGGCTTTAAGGGAGCGCGGCCAGATGGAAGCCACTCCTGAGAAAAACGCACATGACCTCACGCCTGGAGTTTGCAAAAAGGCATGTGAAAGACAGAGCATACGGCACAAGATTCTGTGGTCTAATGAGAATTTTTTCCTCTGGCCTGAATGCAGAGCGCTATGTCTGGAGAAAACCAGGCACAGCTCATCACCCATCTAACACTATCCCTACCTGAAGCATGGTGGTGCAGCATCATGCTATGGGGATGCTTTTCAGCGGCAGGGACTGGGAGACTGGTAAAGAGGGAGCAATGAATGGAGCCCAATACAGGCAAGTCACTGATGAGAACCTGCTTCAGAGTACAAACAACTTTAGACTGGTGACAAGATGTATGTTCCAACAGGACAATGACACCAAGCATACGACCAAAGCAACGCTGGAATGGCTTCAGAACAATAATGTGAAAGGCCTTGAGTGGCCCAGTCAATGCCGGTTAGACTTGAAGATTGCTCTTCACTGCTACTCCCCATCTAATTTAACAGAACTTGAGAAAATCTGCAAGGAAGAATGGGAGAAAATCCCCAAATCCAGATGTGCAAAGCTGATAGACATACCCAAGACAACTCAAAGCTGTAATTGCCGCCAAAGGTGCTTCTACAAAGTATTGACTCAGGAGTGTGAATACTTATGTAAAAGAGAGTTTTCTGTATTTCATTTTCAATAAATTTGCAACATTTCAAAAAACATGTTTTCACTTCGTTATTATGGGGTATTGTGTGTAAATGGTTGATAAATCTATTTAACCCGTTTTGAGTTCAGGTTGTAACACAACAAAATGTTGGAATAAGTCAAGGGGTATGAACTTTCTGAAGGCACTTGTTTGTAAGTTAGTTGTCAATTCACCCAGTCACTAGAGGTTGCTGCTTATTAGCCTCATCTGGATTGGTCATGTCTTTTGCCTTTTTGTATTGAATCTTTTCATAAATGAATGCAGATCTTACCATGTTATTGGTTGTCCGTTGTGGTCTTGCTTTCTACATTGCAAGTGCTGTTTTGTATGGTCATTTGGTGGTACTCGCACCGAACCATGACTACCAATATTTCTAAATCAAGTAGAATTTGGTATTACAGTATTTTCATTTCCCATATAGTCTGATGTTTGTGTGTGGGGATTATAAATTGACATTAGTGGCGATACAGTGCTAGATCATCATATCTTTTTCTGTGTGAATTTTCAGCCGCCAAAACCCTCCAGATCTTCAACATTGAGATGAAGAGCAAGATGAAGGCTCACACCATGACTGATGACGTCACTTTCTGGAAGTGGATCTCCCTCAACACAGTAGCACTGGTCACAGACAACGCCGTCTACCATTGGAGCATGGAGGGAGACTCCCAGCCAGTCAAAATCTTTGACCGACACTCCAGCCTTGCAGGCTGTCAAATCATCAACTACCGCACCGACGCCAAACAGAAATGGCTGCTTCTCATTGGGATTTCAGCACAGGTACTGAAATAGAAGTATTATAATGTATTTCTGGTTGACGCTAGCTGTAATCCACTGAAAGTGACTTGCATTTTTATTTTTTAAATCAGTTGGTCATAGAAGTTCAGCCGTGTGAGTGTCCACACTGTAATGTACAGCAATACGCTGACCCGATAGAGGCCTATTGCTTGTTTTTTGGCTGTATTAAAGCTTGAACAGCATCATGAATGTTCTGCCCTGATAAGGCTTATTGTACCACTGGAAAAGACTGCTGTAGCACAAGCTCTTATACAGTATGTCTATTCCTTCATTTCAGCAAAATCGTGTGGTGGGAGCCATGCAGCTGTACTCTGTGGACAGGAAGGTGTCCCAGCCCATTGAGGGCCATGCTGCCGGCTTTGCCCAGTTCAAAATGGAGGGTAACACAGAAGAATCCACACTGTTCTGCTTCGCTGTCCGAGGGCAAGCTGGAGGAAAGGTAGGACTCTCTGCTCAGCATGGACATGGAATAGTCAGGAAGGGCTGTAATTGAATGGGAAAAGAAAAATGGAAGAAGAAGACCAGGAGATGTCGTTGTTGTTTTTCCTCTGAATATGTTTTTCCTTTTCTAGTTACACATAATTGAAGTGGGGACCCCACCAACAGGCAATCAGCCATTTCCAAAAAAGGCAGTGGATGTGTTCTTCCCTCCTGAGGCCCAGAATGACTTCCCTGTAGCCATGCAGGTACTGGAACCACTTCACAGTAGATGGACAAGCACTCAAACCTGTTCCATACAGACATGCAGGCCCTCAGCATTAATACCCGTTATGACACAGTTACTGAAGCCTTGTCTATCTGTCCTCTAGATCAGCTCTAAGCAGGATGTTGTCTTTCTCATCACCAAATATGGCTACATCCATCTGTATGACCTGGAGACTGGCACCTGCATCTACATGAACAGGATCAGTGGGGAGACCATCTTTGTTACAGCCCCACATGAACCAACCGCTGGCATCATTGGAGTCAACAGGAAAGGACAGGTAAGTCTCCACTGGGTAGCCGGGAGTAAAGGGGAGTGTTTTAGTCCTTTTATCGGGAGTAACCAGATACCAGTGGGCTGATCAATGAGTTTCCTGTCCAAAACACACAGAGCCATTAAATATTCAGGAGGATGGAAAGCTGATCCATGTCTGTAGAGCCCACTGCTCCAGCTCTCCTCCTCAGAAATCACAAATACTGTATACTGTACCTGTGTGATGATGCCTTGAGAGTCCCATTTACTAAACAGGGTGTGTGTTTGTGTGGCAGTGTGCTTTTGTCTCTTAAGAAGTATGATTGACATGTGCGTGTCACTTGGTGAACTTGGCTGAGGGAAGCCTTGTATATAACTGCTCTAACGGTGCCTCCAGCAGAGAGCAACATGTGAAACTCACTCACTCATATACAAACACACACACACTCACTCTCATATACAGTGGGGAAAAAAAGTATTTAGTCAGCCACCAATTGTGCAAGTTCTCCCACTTAAAAAGATGAGAGAGGCCTGTAATTTTCATCATAGGTACACGTCAACTATGACAGACAAATTGAGGAAAAAAAATCCAGAAAATCACATTGTAGGATTTTTAATGAATTTAATTGCAAATGATGGTGGAAAATAAGTATTTGGTCACCTACAAACAAGCAAGATTTCTGGCTCTCACAGACCTGTAACTTCTTCTTTAAGAGGCTCCTCTGTCCTCCACTCGTTACCTGTATTAATGGCACCTGTTTGAGCTTGTTATCAGTATAAAAGACACCTGTCCACAACCTCAAACAGTCACACTACAAACTCCACTATGGCCAAGACCAAAGAGCTGTCAAAGGACACCAGAAACAAAATTGTAGACCTGCACCAGGCTGGGAAGACTGAATCTGCAATAGGTAAGCAGCTTGGTTTGAATAAATCAACTGTGGGAGCAATTATTAGGAAATGGAAGACATACAAGACCACTGATAATCTCCCTCGATCTGGGGCGCCAAGCAAGATCTCACCCCGTGGGGTCAAATTGATCACAAGAACGGTGAGCAAAAATCCCAGAACCACACGGGGGGACCTAGTGAATGACCTGCAGAGAGCTGGGACCAAAGTAACAAAGCCTACCATCAGTAACACACTACGCCGCCAGGGACTCAAATCCTGCAGTGCAGACGTGTCCCCCTGCTTAAGCCAGTACATGTCCAGGCCCATCTGAAGTTTGCTAGAGTGCATTTGGATGATCCAGAAGAGGATTGGGAGAATGTCATATGGTCAGATGAAACCAAAATATAACTTTTTGGTAAAAACTCAACTTGTCGTATTTGGAGGATAAAGAATGCTGAGTTGCATCCATACCTACTGTGATGCATGGGGGTGGAAACATCATTCTTTGGGGCTGTTTTTCTGCAAAGGGACCAGGACGACTGATCCGTGTAAATGAAAGAATGAATGGGGCCATGTATCGTGAGATTTTGAGTGAAAACCTCCTTCCATCAGCAAGGGCATTGAAGATGAAACGTGGCTGGGTCTTTCAGCATGACAATGATCCCAAACACACCGCCCGGGCAACGAATGAGTGGCTTCGTAAGAAGCATTTCAAGGTCCTGGAGTGGCCTAGCCAGTCTCCAGATCTCAACCCTATAGAAAATCTTTGGAGGGAGTTGAAAGTCTGTGTTGCCCAGCGACAGCCCCAAAACATCACTGCTCTAGAGGAGATCTGCATGGAGGAATGGGCCAAAATACCAGCAACAGTGTGTGAAAACCTTGTGAAGACTTACAGAAAACGTTTGACCTGTGTCATTGCCAACAAAGGGTATATAACAAAGTATTGAGAAACTTTTGTTATTGACCAAATACTTATTTTCACACACATTTTAA